AATATAACTAATACTTGTGGAGAAGTGGATGGATACTGATCTTCTATTGCGCCATTTCTGCTTAATTAAGCCTATCCATGTTACGCCCATGTTACACCGTTCGGACCACGAAGCAACAAAAGACACGTGTTAACAAAGTAAAAGCGAGTGACGTTCACTCCCCTACTTCTGCGAAGACTGCTGTTTCCAAACTCGGAATTTCTCCCACGTTCCTACATTCACCCATGTAACACTCTCCCCTTCCTTCTCCAACAGCACGTCTTACGCGCACACTCCTTTTCTATAATTATTTTCCATTTTCTTTCCGGACAGAAATCAAAAACATGAAACAACTTAAAGTACCGTTACAACTGATATATTTTATTTCCTCATAAAAATTTATTTCTTTCAGTTTCATCCTCTCTGCAAGAAAGGTTTTTTTTTTGAAAATAGGCAATGGATCTCTGCAAGAAAGGTTAATGCTTTCTTGCTTCTCCCTTCTCCTTTTCTTGGATGCCCTTGTTTTGCCTCTTGCTTCAGATGTACGACACCGTTTCCTTAACAGTAGTCAAAGAAAGTCCTCTGCTTTTCCCTCCCCCTTTTATTTTTTCCTCCTTGGTACTCTCTTCCTTTTTTGTCCGGTCTTTTTTCTCCCCTTTCTCATTCTTTGCTTTTAGCTATAGACTTTAATTGAGGAAGAAAAGCACGTTTAGTTGGTTGGGTATATCTCTCTTTTCACATTTGTCTCTGGCTCTTTTGGGTTTTGGATATTTCTTCCAAAATGAAGACTTTCAACCATGTAAGTTCTCCCCTCCTCCTCCTCCTTCTCTACCTTAGGTTTTCTGTAGGTATCATCTTGAAGTTATCTTGATTTTGTTTGATCATGCTGATTTTCTGTTGGTTTTTCGCTTCACTATACAGTGCACTTCGGGTTAGTTTCATTTTTCTGCTTCATTTCTTGATACATTGATGATTAAGGATGATGCATGATCAAGGATTTTTTTTTTTTTTTGGGTCTTAATCATAACATGAGAGAGATTTTGAAGAAATGAAAAGGAGGGTATTTTTAACCGGTTTAGGAATTAAATATTTTTATTTTCCCTTTAAGCTTGTGTTTGGCTGCTGAGAAAATGATGATGGAGAAGGAAAAAATCAAAATTCTGGGCCTTTTCAATTACTTTCCCTTCCTAGTAATTATTTCTATTTTCTTTCTTATTTATTTAATTATTCGGGTTTTTGAGTTTTATGTAAATTATTTTCTAATTTTCATTGGTACATGAACAAAGTGTGTTTTTGACTCCCCAATCATACCTCTTGGATGAAATTGAATTCTTCAACGGATTTTCTTTTGGGGGCTGGGGATTGAACGTGGGAAGACTGAGGAGAAGAAACGGATTTGAATTTTAAGTACTTAATTGAGTTTTCAACTTTTAACCGTTACAAAACGTGAGCTGAATTTGACAGTTCTGGTTTGTCAGAACTTACCTGAATTCACTGTTGACATTTACTACATTGTTTTCTACACCGATGATGTTTGACCAAGTGGCATTAGAGTAGTTAATAGCCAATGGCATTGAATTAAGACACATCTGCATCCATGTTTGACTCAACCTAAGACATGTCTGAAGTCGATTTTGCTGATGGTCTTTCTCACATGTCAGCCTAGTAAACAAACTCTTGATTGCCGTTTAAGGTTCTAATTCATTCACTCAATGGTTTACTTGTGATTGTCATTTCTCATGCTATTATAATATTGTCTTGCGTTGCAGGGTTCTGCACTATCGGATTCAAAGAGTAGGCCGTGTCTCTGTAGTCTCTTTGTTGTAGCTTCCTTGATTTGTGGTGCTTACTTCATTAGTACTGCACTCACCTCAGAGGAGTATAAAGAAGTATGTATATCTGCCTTTATAAATTCTACTGAAAATTTACTTGAAGGAATATGCATGATTTCTGCAGGTCAAATTAAATTCTATTTTTTTCATTGATGTCTTGGAAATCAACTATGGCTGTATGACGTGAATTCTGATTAAAATTATCTACTTTGTAATCATGTATGCAGAGAGTATCAAGATGGAAGATGATTAATATATTGCAGAATGCAAAATCAAATAAATGCATGGTTTGTCTCCATTGGAAAAATGTGTCCTTTTTGTCTCATTTGTTTGAGCTTTTGAAATGTTTTCTGATATATCTTTTATTTCCTGATCTAATATAGGAACAATGCCGAGCTCCTAGAAGTGAAGCATTACCTAAAGGAATTGTTGCAGAAACATCTAACCTGGAGATGCGACCTTTATGGAGTTACTCTATGCAAAATGTATTGTTTGATATATTACCAAATGATACTGAATTTAATAGTTTCATGTGCTTGTTTTAAGCTGAGCTCAAAACAAAGAAATAAGCACTTACTGGTGTGTCTTCAATTGCAATTTCAGGTCGATTCAAAGAAGTCTAAGAGCTTGTTAACCATTGCTGTTGGGATTAAGCAAAAAGACATTGTGGATCGAATTGTTAAAAAGGCATGCTTGCTTCATTAATGCCTTTTCTCTTCAATGTGTCTTATCCTAATTATGCTCAATATCCACTTTCATGTGACAGTTTCCTTCCAGTGATTTTGTTGTGATGCTTTTTCATTACGATGGTGCTGTGGATGAATGGAGTGATTTGGACTGGAGCAACAAAGCCATACATGTGTCTGCAGTAAATCAAACAAAATGGTATGTAATGCCCTTCTTTTTTTTTTTTCTGACCAGTATGCCACATGTTAGTGTATTGCAATATGACTAAACATTGTCATGTGATGTCATAGGTGGTTTGCTAAACGTTTCTTGCATCCAAACATTGTTGCTGAATACAAATATATATTCCTTTGGGATGAGGACCTTGGAGCAGAGCATTTTAATCCAAAACGGTAAGGCAAAACCTTGTTCTGCACTGAGTGCTGTCAATGGGATTTGATGTTCCCTAAAGTTAAAATTTGGGAGAAGATTGATACAAAGTCTCCTTGTGATTCATTTTCACTGTTATTTTTCCTTCTGGACAAACTACGGATTCCAATCTTGCAGATACTTGACTATTGTTGGGGATGAAGGACTTGAGATATCACAACCAGCACTAGATCCTGATAAGTCAGAGGTGCATCATCAAATTACAGCACGTAGGAGGAAATCAAGGGTGCACAGGTTAGTGGAATATATAGTGGAAATTGTTTTAGTTGGCCAAAAAAATCCTTTTGGGTTCCTCGCACGTCACAAAACAGATTTATTTTCCTTTGTCTTCAATATTTCTTGTTGTATAAGCTAGCATATCATTACCCTTTATTACCCTTAAACAATCTCATAACATTTGAACAGACGAATATACAAATTTAAAGGCAGTGGAAGGTGTGATAACCACAGTACTGCTCCTCCTTGCATAGGGTAAGCTATGACTAAATCCATCTCTTTAGAATTCCTTTTAACAAAAAAGTTAAAGCCTTAATGATATGATCATCTATATCATTTCATTTGCTGTTGTCCAGGTGGGTGGAATTGATGGCACCTGTGTTTTCAAGAGCTGCTTGGCGATGTGCATGGTATATGATCCAGGTAACTAGTGCTTTTTCAGTATTCAGACAAATAGGAGCAGATTTGCTTACAAGGTTAGCAACATTGTACTCAAACATCTTCTTGAATTGAATATTCAATAAGATGAGAAACTTAAGAATTGGATTTGGCATTCTGCTGCATAACAATATAAAAACTAGAGGATTCTCATCCGAATTTATTTTTTTGGATTGGAGGGCTCAAACCAAAACCTCATTGGGATTGTGTTGGAAGACCTTGTTTGAATTCCTCATGGCTTCAGTGATTGCATCTTTTTCTAATAACCTGTTCTAATTTGTTAGTCTTTCCCCCTTTGTAGAATGATCTAATCCATGCATGGGGCCTGGATAAGCAGCTTGGTTACTGTGCACAAGTAACAATTCTTCTAGACCTATTGTATCTTCTTCTAATTCTCTTGGGCGTGGCATTGATATTTGGATTCTTTCAGGGTGATCGAATGAAAAATGTTGGTGTGGTTGATGCAGAGTACATAGTTCATCTTGGTCTTCCTACTCTTGGTTTCAAGGTTGAAAATGAGGCAAGTATCTTTTGAAGGGTTCTAGGTCTAGGCATAACATTCATAGTTTTTTCCAAGTTAATCAATCAGGCTCTTCTCAGCCATTGTGTTCAGATAGGCTCTAACATTCTATCACCTACTCCCTGATGCAGTTTAATGCTACACAGCCTAATGTTACCCAGAAGGAGCGCTACTCTAACTCAGAAACATCAGTATGTTTCCTGCATCTGAATTTGCCTCACTCAAGATTCTTCATTGATTTAAATAATGATATGTTCATCTTTGGAATTGCAGGCACCATCTGAGTCCCAAAAAGTTGATAACAGACCTGAAGTAAGTACCTACTTAGCTATTACATTTTCAATAGACTGTTTATCCTTTGTTCCATTTATTACGAGCAAGGCAACTCTCACCTTCAATGCTATATCCTTTTTCCAGATACGAAGACAGTCCTTTATTGAGATGCAGATCTTCCAAAAAAGATGGGAAAGTGCTGTCAAGGAGGATAATTGTTGGGTTGATCCTTTTAAACAATATTCATTTAACCAAAGCACTCACTGATTATAATCACAAGGCCTCCATCCATGCAAGGCCACTCACATACTCAACACAGGTACACCATAACATCAAGTTTTGTCTACAAAATGCTCTTCCTAATGCATATGATGTGTGGAATGTGATTAATGCTCTTAATCATGATTTTGATTGTTATTGATTACTGATTGACTACAGTGTAAATATGTTTGTCTGGTTAAGAAATGTTGTAAATTTATATTTTGGGTATATATTTGACTATTTCTATTTTGGGTATATATTTGACTCTGGAATCAATATTTTGAAGTTAGTTGGTACCGTACCCTTAGACAGGTTTGGTTGATGGAATGGAATCTATCAAAATGTGCACTTATGTATGATGTATCCAAGTTTGGCTAAAATTTTTTTCCTAATTCTGAATTTAGGCTACTAAGACTTAGTTTGGGAGTGTTGACCTATAGTCACATCTATTGGTCTTTTAGTTTTTTTTTATATATATATATATTCTAAAAATATATAATTATATTTAATATTTTTAATATTTTATATATTTTTACAATAATAAAAAGATAAAAAAAAAAAATTAAAGTACTGAGAAATTTTGTTAAATGAAACTTAATATTGTAATTACTCCTTTCTCAAAATTCCCCATGTTCAAAAGTATTCCTGTGGACGATGTAATATGGTTATCCAAAATATCTGAAGAAAATGTAGTATTATCCCAATATTAGGGGATCTTCATTCTCAATGACATTTACTTATATGTAGATCACATTCACTTAGAATTCGGTAAAAAAAAATTCAAGAAAACAATTGTAATTAGTCCCATCTCAAAAGTTTGGTGGAACACAACAATGGTGATTGTCGAGCGATATTAATGGGCAAATCAACCCTTAAATTCCTTGAATTTGGTAAATTCATCTTTATCTAACATATGATACCATGACAATATCCCAAAATCCAATTGTTCTCTTGGTTTTCAAGGGAAATAACCATTAAAATGTCCAAGTTTCGACCTACTTCCGGTGATGCCAAAATTGCTTTTGCATTTATTTTCAGCACTCTTAATTGGATATTAGTCATATTTTTAAGAGAACAACTAATTACAAAGTAAAAACCCCAATAAGGTAATTTAATGATTAAAAATTTGAGACTCAATAATTAAAATTTTGAGCTTCTAAATTAAAAATCTCACATTCTCAAACCTTGAGTTGGATGAGATAGAATTTAATAATATGGTATGATGTATCTTTTTTTAGCACTTTATCATTTTGATTTTTTATTCAGATTGATCTTCCTTATGAGAGGCTACGCAGGTAACAAGGCACATTTCACTCCCTCCAACTTCTCCCATGAAGTATTATATTAACTCATATCTTTCATTAGTCGTCTTTTATATAATTCATCAGATATACAAAAAAAAAAAAAAAAACAAACAAACAAACAAAACTAAGTACAAAGTAAATAATAAAATGCAAACTGACCGTTTGCAAGCGCCTGTGGCCTAATCCGATTGTGGGTTCGAGTCCCACCAGGCGTGTTCTTTTTTTTATCCTCTATTTTTCATCTCTTTTTAATTCTTTTTAAAGAAAAGTATATGAATTTTATATACCATAGATATTGTCAATCTCTCAAGGCAATTATTTCAAAAAAAAAAAGATTTTTTTTTTTTGCAAAATAAGTAAATTTTATTTATTAGCAACGATTATACGCCATCTACACCAATATTAAAACAAATGATGATGCTATGAAGACAATTTTTTTATATCATTTTTTATATAATTTTTATATGTTAGCAACGATTATACGCCATCTACACCAATATTAAAACAAATGATGATGCTATGAAGATAATTTTTTTATATTATTTTTTTATATAATTTTTATATGTTATTAAATAAATAAATATATTTAATATCATGAATTTCACATAAATTAAAAAATTAATAATTTAAATAACTCGTCAAATTATACTAAAAAATGATATTAAAAAATTATCTCAAAAAGTGATACTAAAAAATTGTCCCAAAATCATTTCCTTAGAGAAAATCTTTAACCCATTATTTGCGGACATACATTTATCCAAGATGCATGTTTGACTACAAACGAAAATAAGAAATTTGTAGATGAAAGTTATATAAAAACCTTCGGCCAGAGAGAAAAAAAAAAATTATATATATATAAACTTATATACCAGTAGACACCTGACTTATATTTTAATTTTTGACATGTTCAAATTCATTGCCATTTCTTCAACCAACAAGGTGTTTAAAATTTTAGGCAAAACCATAAGTTAAGCCCCTGAACTAACCCCAGAATCGCTATTAAGCCCCTAAACTTTAATTGATGCAGTTAAGCCCTTGAACTCTAGGATCAAAGCAATTAAACCCTTCTTCTTAAGCAATTTATTTTAAAAATTAAAGTCTAGGGGCTTAATAGCGTAAAGAAGAAGGGCTTAATTGCTTTGATCTCAGAGTTCAAGGGCTTAACTGCATCAATTAAAGTCTAAGGGCTTAATGGCGATTTTGGGGTTAGTTCAGGGGCTTAACTTATGGTTTTGCCAAAATTTTATTGACTATTCTATCAAGGAAAAAAAGTGAGAGAAGATTTATGTACCGGTACTGGCTCAAAACGAAACTGAATCAATTTACATATAGTTTGATAATACTTTTTAATACTTTAGTTTTTAATTTTTATATCTTTTATTACTTTTAAAAATATAAAAAATATTAATTAAAATAAATATTAAATATATAAAACATATTTTATATATTTTTAAAGTATTAAATGATAAAAATATTTATTATATTACAATTACATATCAGTATTGTTATTTGTCAAATTAAATCTTAATTCAATGGGTTTAGTCTTTAGGCTTTAGCTTTCTGGAATGTAAGCCCAAACTGAGTGCAGGATAGAGTCCAAGTAGCCATTATATATTGCATTTGGACCAGAAGCAGCGCAGCAGCCCCCAAGCCCCAACCCTTTTATAACCCAAATAAAATATCCACCTGCCTTTGGCGCCAAAATCCTCCGTCTTCCTCTCTAACAGATCGCTCGCTACCCAGCCTACCCTGTTCTTGGCTTCACCATCGGCGATGGCTGACCCCGGCGGCGATAATGGCGGTGCTTCCGAACTTCTAGCTAAGTTTCTTGATCTCCAAGAAAGGATAGAGGCCGCAAAACTGAAAGTCCAGAAAATGATGGAATATTTGGGGCGCGAGGGATTGGAAGATCACCTGAAAGAGGCAGCTGATGATTCGAGGATGGAATTGGTAGAATTCGAACAGAGGTTTCAAGATTTCGTGGGTCAAAACATCCCCCATGGTGTTCCGAATCTTGATCCTTCGCTGTTGGAAACATTTCGTCTAACAATTCAAGAACTCGCTCTAGAATTCGATGTAATAGATGTGAGGGTCTCTGAAAATCTTCTGGAATTAGAGGATTTTCAGGCAACCGGAATGGTAGAAGAACAATACCGGCCGAAGGGTCTTCAACCAAGTCCTTTAGCCGGTCGACGTACGCCTGGGGCTCTTGCGTTAGATGCCTTGCTGCAAGCAGGAATTAAGGTGATGGAAACTTTTGATCCGATTAAATTTAATGAAGAAATGGAAGATATTAATCGTGAGTTCGCCTTAGATATTCTGAAATCAAGGGAACTTCAAGCGCAGGCGAATAAGCATGGGAAACATCCATCTCCTCAGAAGAAGCGAAAACGGAAACTGGGTCCTGCGGATTTGGTGAAGTTGAAGAAAATCAAATCGTTGCATCGGGAACTATCCGGTGCCGATCGGCGTCTGAGTGATATCATAGTGGATTTGTATGGATTCCCATCTGATGAGGCACAGGGGATGTCGATGGGAGTTGTTAGGTCGACATTGAACCGGAATCCAGAAACTACAGATCCCAGTTCATCAACAGGATCACTGAAATTGAATTGGGATGGTGTGAGGAAAAAGAGGCAAGAGTTGCAAATGTTGAAGTCTCTAGAAAACGAATTTCATGTTATGACTCCGGCAGCATTGAGGAACTGGATTTACTGCCTGGAGACTCAGATGTATAACCTTTTTCATCATCTTCTGTCCTTAATGTCAGGCTATGAACCGGCAATGGAAAGGCTAGGGCAACTGAGAACTTCGCTCGGAGAACTTAGACAGGAGAATTATGGGATGGTGCCGATGGTAGTACAGAGGATCCATGCAATGCTGGAAATGCAGGCGCCCGTCGAATCAGCATTGGACAGAGATCAGCAGGGAGTGTTGTACAGAGATATGGGTTTTGAGCATGTAATTGATTCGATTCATAGGATGATGCTGAATCTGAGGTTTGTGCTAATGGTTTCTGGGACTCCTAATGCAAGGGGAATACCTCCATATGTGCTGGATATGTGTGAGCGAGCATTAAGGGAAGCTGAGGAGGAATTGGAAAGGATACAGAAGATGATTGTGGAAGGAAGGAGTCATGTTGAGAAAATAAGGAAGAGGTATGATGGAGCCGGTGGGAGCGGGAGCGGAAGTGGAAGTGGCAGCAGCGGTGGTGGGAGCGGAAGCGGGGGTGGGAGCTCACAAATGTCAGAGAAGGCCAGGGGAAAGATGATAATGAGGGAGTGGTGATTTACATGGTATGCTTGGATTCAATCATAGTCAAGTTGGTAGATTTGTAAGGGGAAGAGTTCAAATTTGGTGGATTTTTGGATTTTCTAGGCTTGTATAGAAGGAAAAGTAGACCAAGTTCAATTGCGACCATGACATTGTACAATGATAAAGATTGTTATAAAAGTGAAGTTTTAATAGCTTGTGATTGTGAGAAAATATTTATGGCTGGGGGCGTAAGAGAAGCAAGCTGAGACTAAATAATTTGAGTTTAAGCTTAACTTAAACTGAAGACGTAAATTGTAAAGCTTGACTCAATTAGATCTCGAGTTCTTTAAATAAGACACCAACATTTGAGATATATTTAATAACATCTACACCCATTAAATCTTTTTAGCGAAATGACATCTACTTTGGTACTTCAGGAATCAACAGCTTCATAATGGCAAGAAGTTCAGTGTCCGCCTTGCAGAAGAGTTTATTTGTTCCAAGGCTATTGAGTTTCAAAGCTCTTGCTGGCAGCCAAATGTGCTCCCTGCCAGAACCATTATCTCAGTTAGCTGGAAAGCCCCCTCCAAAAGGATTTATCAAGATGAATACAAATGGGTCTGCAATCAATAATCCTAGGCAGGTTGGGGCCGAGGGGTATTTAGAGACCATATTGGGCGTTGGCTGCTGGGTTATGCCGGGAACATCGGGCATACCAATGGGCATACCAATGGCCTCTCTGCGGAGTTATATTTATATGCTATTCATGAGGGTCTAAGTCTTGCTGTTACTTGCTAAGATGGGAACTACTCTAATTACCTCTGTAACTATTTTGGAACAATGTCCAACTGATATGTATTTACTTTTCTGCTCGGATGTAATTGAAAATTCAATTTCCATGACCATTACTATTATCTAATACAATATCCCATCTCGTTTTACAAAAAATAAAAAATAAATAAATAAATAAAAATGACATCTACTTTCAGTTTAGCCAGAATTCAAGCTCAAAAGCAATGTTATTTAAGTGTAAGAAATGAATTCACAATTCAAGATTTGGAGCTAATATATACACCAAAACTTGGATGCATAAATTTGAGTTTA